TATTATAAAATGAATTTAAACCATCAAAGTATGTATTTAGATTAGCTAAACAACCACATGAATATTTATTGAATTTAACTAAATTAAGTTTGCTTTAGTACGAGTATTTTTCATTTTACTTTGATAATAATAAAAATAAAATCTCAAAATAATTAAAAAACTTTAAGTATGATAATTAGAATATTAAGGTAGTGAAAATTATACTTAGTATTCAAATAAAATAGAATAATAATACTTACTTAGCGCTGAATATGTAGATTAGATTTTCTACAATTTATATAATTCCTAAATTTAGTGTATTTAAATATTTTGAATTATTTTAACTTCAGATTTAGATTTATAAATAAATTTTCTCTATTAATATAGAAATAGAATTAATTGATTTTTAGAAGAAAAAATGTCAATATAAGAGGAAAATACATTTATTTTGACAGACAACTTGAAGGTTTAATGTAAATTATAAATCTAGCAGGATACAACACTGATGAGAATTTCAATCTTTATCTGTAATTTTATAGTGCTAGTAAACAATTCAAATAAATGAATAAATTTTCTATTACAGAATTACATGAACAACTAAACATAAAACTAACAAGTATATAGTTAATATTTATTCTTATTATTAACATTCAATTATCATCAAATAAAATTTCATCAAGTATCTTATTCTCTTTAATATCCATTTCCATCCATCTACCAATTTTTTTGCCATTTTTATATTAACCATCATAGATTAATTAGTGGTATTTATGGAAACTTTCCGAAAACTCAATCCAATTTCCAATTTTAATTCCTTTACCATCTTCATCATACTATCCACCGCCACTAAAAATTAATACATCAAATCTCTGAATTTACCTCTATATTCCATCATACGTAATTTCCCATTTACCAACTTTTTAATTATGCTTATATTCTCCTTAATAAATTATTTCTGTGTAATTATTAAATCTATCACTCAATTCAGTCCATTTACCTATTTTTATTTCATCATCCCCTTTATTATATGTTCCACCACCGCTAAAAAAAAGAATATATTATTTTAAGTATACATCTTTTTATTTTTCCATCCTTTATCATAAGAATTATACCAAATATCCCATCTACCAACCTTTTTATTATTTTTATATTCACCAACATAGGTTACTTAAGAATAAATAAAGAACGCCTCGCTCTATTCAACCCATCTTCCAATCTTAATCTCATTCCCTTCTTAATCATATAATCCCCCACCACTAAATATTTTTATATTATTTATAATATTCAATATTTACATTTATTTATTATTCCACCCATCATCATATTCGTTAAACCATATATTCCATCTACCAACCTTTTTACCATTTATATATTCACCATTATAAGTTACTTACGAATCTGTCTTATACGTTTTATTAAAATCAATCCACCTCCCAATCTTAATCTCATCACCAACCTCATCATATAACCCACCACCACTACAAAATTTTTACTTATTATTACATCTTCTAATTTCCATCCCAATTAAAATAACTCTCCCATAAACCAATCTTTTTACCTTTTTTATATTCACCATTGAAAGTTATTTATGAAAAATAATAAAATCCATCGCTCTCTTCAATCCATCTCCCAATTTTTATTTCATCATCGCCTTCATTATATAATCCACCACCACTAAAAATTTTTTTATATTTTAAATTACATCTTTTTATTTTCATAGAAAATATCCCATAAAGCAACCTTTTTACCATTTTAATACTAACCATTATAAGTTACTTAAGAATTCTTATTAAACCCATCTCTCAATTCAATCCATTTACCATCCTTAAAACCTTGCTTATTGTATGATCCTCCTCCTCTATTTAATTTCAGAATAAAATTTACATCTTTCTACCATTAAACACGTATATCCATATTCCGCATCTTTAATTTTTAAGGTATGATCCACTTTCATATACTTATACTTATACTTTACCTTGACTATTTCTGATGACATAATCATATTTACTTCATATAATTTCTATTTAATTCTTTCCATAAACCTTATTTCAATCCATCGTTAGAGTACAAACCACCCACATTATTTAAGATCTTCCCATTCCATGTAGCCATCCATTTACCAATCTTCTTATTATTATAGCCATAATTTCCTAACCATTACATTATTTATAATTGTTCTAATTAGTAAAAAAAAGCTCAAATAATTTAAATATTACTTATAATAATTTAATAAATATTTTATATTCATATTTAATAAAATTGATCAATAGCTGCTAGAATTTATTTATTTGCTTGATTTACGCAATTTGAATTGAACATTTCTATGAATAAATGAAGATATTTAGGCTTTTAGATGAATACTGTTTTTGATTTTGATTCATTATAAAAAATAAGAATTTTAATAATTTTTTCATTTATAAATTAGAATTATAACTAAATCTATTCATAAAAAATGATCTACGTTTTCATTCATTTTTCTTTTACAGACTTTTAAAGGGTTCACACGAATATCAAGAATATTGAATGAATCATAATAGATAAAGACTTTTATTTTCATTCTTATGGTTTAATAGATTGGTAACTATTTTATTTTATCAAAAATTAGCTTTTTATTAACCGTGAAAAATATCCGAATTGCAACAGCAATATTAGAATGTTTATTTAAAGTTCAGATGTTTAGTGTGATATGATAGTTGATTTTGTATTTTTAAAGATTATATTTAAGGCTATTAAAAAATTAAAATCTATTTTTTTCAAAAGATTTAGTTCGTTTTGATTTAAATTCATCTATTTATATATACAAAAAAAATTAATCAATATAGAAAAAAATTATAATAAATTGGCAGCTAAAATATTAAATATGTTGATTTGATTCTATTAGTTTTGATATGTTTCGATGATATGGATAAATTTATTGTGTTCATTTTCCTTTCGAAGAAATATAAATATATTAATGAACACAATATTTAAAATTATATATTTTAAATTTCAATTGATCGACAAAGAGATCTTTTTTAAATATTTAATTAATTATCAGACAATTTAAAATTTCAATATCAACAACGTAGCAATTATTCATTCTTAACTCCTTCCATATTCAAAAAAATCTCTCAGAAATATTTTATCAATTTATTCAGAAACTTTTTATATTAAACATTTTATATTCAGGATTTCAGATTATTTTTAAATCCCTTAAAGCAAAATTTGATATTATTTTGATAGTATATAGATTTGGAAAAATATGTAAATAATTTTTTGAAAATTATTCCAAATGAAGATGGAAAAAATTGTTAGTTAGTCTTTAAGGAATTTTTCAACCAAAATTAGAATTATCATAACTATAAATCTATTATATAATACGTAAAAACATTTAAATCTGATAAGCATTCACTCTAAAATTGAATCTAATTTAAGATACAAAGATTAAAATTGAGAATGATTTAACAATAAAGCCAAATCAAGAAATTCAATAGATTTCAAGTTATTAAGCAATTTAATATTTAATAAACTAAAAATATATTATTTTAGTCCTTTTATCTGTATCAAAATAAACTTATTGTAAGCATTCTTAAATATTGTTGATATAATTAAGTGGGTTTATAGTTTAAATTTTAGAACTTAATTATTAGATAAGTAACAGCTTTAGCCTTTGAATGCTATAACTGAGATTTTTGTAGATAAATTAAGATGGTAATTGATATTTATTATATTTATACAACATAAACTTAAACATTCATTTCTATTAAATATTCTGATAAATTTCATAATGAATTATAATTTTAATTGTTTATCATTAGGGCAGGTAAAACAACTAAATCTAGGATTTTACAAAATTGATTTAAACAAACATAATCAATAAGTGAATTTTAATAAGATAATACTATTTTAATATTAAATAAAGATAATTTAATTTCTAAAGACAAAGAAAAATAAATCTAAAAATTTTTATCCCCTTCAAAATAAACACCCAATAAGAACTTGTTCCTATTCAATTATATAATTAAAAATATCTGCTCTAATGTATTTTCAAACTTCTAAATATTATGTACTCTCGATGATTGGATAAGGTTAAGCTCATAAAGTGTTTAAAGTTTAGCATAATCTAAGTTAAAAAGTATTTGCCATCAAAATAGAAAAATATCCCATGTAAGGTCAAATAGAGAGTGAGATTAAATTCCTTAAAGAATTGAATGAAATAGAAGGAATCCCCAAATTGATTCATCATGGAATAACTCCAGAAAAAAAGTATGAACTATTTAATCAATTTAGGAGTTATCTTATTTTGCCACTTCTACATTGTAGCTTACAGGATTTGGTTAAATCTTAACAAATATCCTTATCTTGCACTTTGGCTATTGGATTAAGTCTTATCGAGACTTTAGAAAAAATGCATAAAAAAAGCATCTTACATCTAGATATCAAACCAGAAAATATTATGATATCACAAAAAATGCAATTAAATTCAGAGAATAAACTTCTCGAGCCTGGAGTTATTTAACTTATTGATTTAGGTCTATCTTAATCAATCGAAAATTAAAAATTCTAAAAAAATATATTATTTGGTTCCTTAAACTTTGCAAGCAGAACATTTCATAAAGGTGAATAATTAGGATATAAAGATGATTTGGAAAGTCTATTTTATGTGTTAGTCTATTTGAAAAATTGTATTTATAATCATTTAATTAGGTAAATTACCATGGTCTTAAGAATCTTCAAAAGGATTTAAGACTGTGGATAATAAATTGATTGGAGAAATGAAAACTTCCCTCTTTAATACAATTACATTATCCTAACAATTCCCTCATGAATTCTTTAAATTTATGTCTTACATTGATGAACTCTAACCTAATTAAATGCCAGATTATTCTTTCATAAAATTGTTGTTTATAAAAATGTTACAGACAATTTCTATAAATCCAAACTCGAATCAATTATTGAACTATTCTCCAATTTAAGCTCTTAATCAACTAGAAAACTCGGAGACCTTAGATTTTCCAGTTAAAAAACATCTTTTAAATAACGATTCAATTCAAACATAAATCCAAGAAGATATCCTAGATACCGAGCATATAGTTGTACATATATCTGATAGGATTGGTAAATATAAAACTGTTTAAATCAAATCAATCTCAGATATAAAATTTGAATGATCATTATAATTTTATTAATTAATGATTAATAATTTCAATTATAAATATTTATTTATTAATATTTTTATCAATTATGCTATAAATAATAATTTAAAATATACGTCTAAATAGCTAAATCCATTTGAATAAAGAATTAATTAAACAAAAATTTTCAATTAATCATAATATTATTTATTTGGAAATCTTTTATTACTTCTAAATTTTAAATATTATCAAAAAAATATTCCACTTTTTTAAAATACTTATTCTAATTTCAATGTTATATGCTGATTTGAAGTTATAGAGAGTAAATATCTTAAATGTAATTTATCTTATTAATTTAACTAACATCACACTAATCATAGAGAAATGTTAAACAATTATAATTTATCTTATAATTATATCATTTTTTTAAGGAATAAGTTTAGAAACTATCAAAATCTCCAAAAGCAAAAGAATTTCATCAATAAAAATGTTTGTATTATTCAATTACCGCTCCACAATTGATAAATCTTCAAGATTCATTCCAATTGTAACTTTAAAAGATATATATGAGGCTCTTAATCTAATTTATGAAGACGTTCATAAAAAATCAAATAACTTCATTAGGAAGACTGATGATTTGACTTGATCTCAGAGATTGATTAAGTATTTATATTGATTAATAAATTCAGATGTACTAAATATTTTACTGAGGCTTATTATTCAGAAATCATCTATTTAAACGAATTATATTAAATGATTAGAAATAATATAATTTTTTTATTCCTTATTGATTCCAACTATCGCTGAAATTACATAGCTGATATTGAATTCAATTATTTCTTAGTATTTTAAATTGCAGATTATTAAAAATGTATGTCTTATTTAAATCATCTAATAGTAAAGGTATATATTATTTAATTTATTTTAAGAATAAATATTTTGATAAATCTTAGTTAAAATTATGCTCAACTTCTTTTAAGATTGTTAATTTACTTTAACCATTAAAATAATTAATTTAATTATTGGTTGGTTTAATGAAATGTTATTACATATATCAATGACTTCAGATATATATTCTAAGTTTAAGAATATAAATTATAAATAATAAATAAGATTTTTTCCAACTGAGGATGATGATTAATTAACTATAAATTTAGCAAAAATTTTTGAAGATGGGGTCATTTTTTTTTTTCAGCATTTTATTTTTCTTATGTTAAACAAATTATTGAGGAAAATATGTTATGCTTTCTGTATTATATATTATATTAATTAAATAATCAAATTTATCAAAAATGAGATATTAATATCATTTAATACTTATTCATACTTTGCTTCTCTAAATTATAGTTTGTGAGATAAATTAATGTCTTAAAATAATTATGGAACCTGATGAAATATTTACTACAAAAAAAGAAAGTATTTTAATTGTAAATAGTGATGAACATGATTATGAAAATATAAATTTAGAGAATTACAAAATCATACAAGAATCATAAAGAATTAAAAAATATTAAAAAGAAGAAATCATCTATGCATAGATAATATAAATAAATGGTGCTTTTTAAATTTTCAGCAAATTATTTTGTTAGTTTTCAAAATCTGAATATTATTTTATCTCATGTATAAAGATTGAAGATTCAAAATAATATGAAAATGACAATGTCATAGAATAAAATACATTTTAAATAGATTCAAACATCAAAGATGATCATACATGTGAAGAATTTTAATTTGAATAAAATTCTGGATTCATATTATTTTGCTTCAAAGATTTCTATTTCAAAATATATATCATTAATTTTGAAACCAAAACATAACTATTAGAATAGGTTAAGATAGAGAATAGCATGTATACATTGTGCAAAAGAAAAATTTTCAAAAAATCTGACCATAATTATATAATTGCTTTCATTTAATGCTATAATTGGGGAGTATTTATTTATAATAACAAAGAAATAAATATTGTTCTAAATGAAAAAATAGTAAATAGTAATTATTCTTAACAAATTAACTTTCTTGAGAATTTTGAAATGTGTTAAAATCTGTTGATTGCGCTTCTTACAGAAACTAGTTATTATCTATTTAAAATTGATTATTAAAACGAGTTTGGACTATTATTTGTTACAAATGATCATTTAAATTCGTTTATACTTTCATAAGAGAACTGCTAAATAATATATAAAATTAAATGGATTTCCTCCCTTAATAAGACAGTAATCTAAAATAATAAATATAGACAAGAATTTGAAGGTACCCTTTTAAATTTCAAATTGTTTTTGGATATTCTTTTTGTTTAAACTAATAACTAACTTCACGTTATTTTTAATAAAGAATTAAAATAAGTAATAAATATTAATAGCTCAAAATTTTATTTTGGTATGTAAAACTTAATATATTAAATTGATTAAGTTGCTAATGAAATAGTATTTTATAGGTTTTCCTTTCCCAGATGTTACATTTAACCTACAAAGAAATATATACACCTAATTGTGAGTTAATCTTAAGCTTTTAATTATCCTATGGCTTGCTATGAAATTACTTATCAAGCAACAAATGCCTAATTAATTTAAGATTATGGTCTTAAAAATAATTGCGAAAAATAATTTTTTTTCTTATTTAGCAAGAAATAATTAAATTTAATTAATGATTATCAAATAAATTTACTACCATTAACCTCTTCTAATTTAAAAATCAGTATTTTAGATAAATCACCATTTAACTCTTTTTGTAGAAATTTAAATGATTAAGTCTACGAAGAATAAACCTTATTATATTAAGGAAATGATAATCAATAATCATATTCTTTATTTAAAACAAAAAATTACATTGAAATCAAAAGTTGTAAAGAAAAATTTTAATTTAAAATTCAAACTTAATAATATTAGGTATTATAATACCGAAATTCAATCCTTTTATGGTAGAAGGATAATAGAAAATTAAAATAGATTAAATTATAAGTTATTCAACCATTAATTATTGAATATAAATTCAAAAGTGAAATTATTAATATTCTTTAATTTTAAGACATAATTATTATATTAACTAAAAATTAGGATGAACTTAAATTGTTTGATCTGTAAACTTTAAGTGTTGTAATCATTGATTAGAATATTTAAAATATTTTGCATAATTTAAATCAGAAATATCTTTTAGAAAATTAGCAATATGAATAGTTTCAAGTATTTTATTTTTCAAAATTTAATTATTAAGTAATTCAATTATTTCAATATTTGATAATTTTTATTAACTCCGAAATTATTATGATTGAAACTGACTTTATTTAGATAGTTTTTACTAAAATAATCATAAATAGTAAATGTTACATATTGGGAATACATCTTATTAAAAATTAAATAATTGAGTAAATTTTTAATGGGTATTAAATATTAACTTTAAAAAAAATTAATCTAGATAATTATGAAATTATTAGACCACTATTTTACTAAATTGATAATGAATATTTTGCGATTGCTACTCGAAATTCTTCAAAAACCTTCATAATCGTATTTGTCATCTAAAATAGATTACTACTAAAACAAATTAAAACTATTGAAATTGGAAGAGTTTAATTTTTTTTCTAGGACTAATATTTATTCTTTTATGATTAAGGAGACAAAATTTAAAAATTCAATATGAGAGATTTTGAGATTTCATTAGAAATCAATTCCTCTTGGCAAAATTCACTTATTAGTCATGAATAAATTTTTTTTCAAGTTATTCCGATAGATACTAAAGCTGATAGAATTAATTTAGAAATCAAAATTTAGATCTATAATGAATGCTTTTAATTATTCTAAAAAAATAATCATGTCCTACTAAAATATAAAAAAGAGAAAAATTTTAGAATAAATATTAATGATTATATTTTTGGTCCAATTGATAATATTTAAATAATAAATAATGATAATTTTTCAATCAAAGGACCATTGTTACTTTCTGAATAAATCAATAATAATGATATTCTCGATGGAATTAAATTAAAGAGTATTTATTTGGGATCTGTTTTACAAGAGTTAGAAAATGTAATCATATTTTAAACTAAGAATAACTCAATAGTATTATTCAGATAAATATAGGAACATTTCTATAAGAAAGAAGAATAATTATAAAATATAATTTCAATAAATGACTAATCTTTATTATTTTTATTTCTTAATAATAATTTTTTTGAAATAAGAGGAGTTATTTATTCGATTAATGAAACAGCTATGCAATTAATTGCATAACCTATATATGAAATAAAAATAAAAATATCTCCAAATTCTAGCTATGAAAGCATGAAAACAGGAAATTTAATCATAATTAAAGATTCATTCACTTTACAATTATATTAAATTATCCAATCGAAAATCTATTAGATCTAAAATTTAATTAATATAACAGAAATTCTTAAAATTAAAGGAGATAATCAACTATATATATCTCTCATATATTAGGAAGGAGGATAAATATTAACATTTTAAATTCTCTCCTTAGATAAGAGTCAATTTTAATTGGAAGGAGTAGCTGAGCTTTCATAGTAAACTATTGATTTTGCTCTTAAAAATTACATTCAAATAAAAACTAACAAATATTTAAATAAAGACTACAAATTAAATTTATTAGAATGTACAATTGATGGTGAAAATCTATAATTAACAATTTTTCAGAGTTTAAGGGGAATGTCAATCATTAGTGAAATTTTAATATAAAGGAAGAATCTCGAAGTCCAATTCAAACCAATAAGGATTTTAAGAAATTTTGAGGAAGAAAATCATATGGAACTATAATATTTTAGTAATCATCATTTAATTTTAAAATCACACTCTTTTATTTACTTTTATGATTTAAAAGAATCAGATATTTTAGATTAGATTGGAAGACGTTCTATACTCCAATAATACATTTATCATCAAATAAATACTACTCATTTTATTGTTTTTTAATATAAGAAAGGTGGCATTTTTATTGGGGAGATTGGTTATCAAATTACAATCAATGATGAAACTTAAAATAATGAAACGTTTACATTATTAGCAGAAAACTAAGTATCATCAATATCATTATAAATATTTCTTTAAGTGTCTGATGAGCAGAGCTATAACAAAACTGCTTTCAGAATACTCTTTTTCATATTTGCATTAATATTGATTATTTATTATTTTATTCGAAGAATGTAATTAAAGAAAAAATAGATAAATAATTAAAAGCACATTTTTATCTATTAAAATAATTCAGAATCATGAAAAGATGAATAATTTAAGAAATACAACTTTATTATATTTAGTATGTTTATATAATTTTTTTTTTGTCTACGATTAACTAAACATATGAAATTTTGAATTATAAGCTTCTCAATTTATAAAATTTTCTTATAATTTTTGGCATTGTTCCAATACTAGCATTGTATTTCTATCATCATTTTTTCTTAAATATCCTGTTTTGGTTCAATTTAATAGAAATATACCAAAATTAAATTATTTTGAAATTATTACTTATATTCACCAAAAGTTAATGGCATTAATGAAAAGTCATGCTAAATTTCAAGCTCAATGACTTAAAAATTATTAAAGTTATACTTGTTCTTTTTATTAATTTTTCCTTATAATAATACATGATTTAAATTGTTGATAAATAAGTAGTTTATACATCTTCTAATAAATGATTAATAGCTTGGATGCCATATAAGATATATTACATTTCAATTAAATATTAATTTATATGATAGATATTTCCTTTTTGATATCTAATTATACTTAATATTTTTAATCATCATACTTTTTTAATAATAATTTTAATCCTATTTAGAGAAATCATAGATTAATTTAAATAGTACATCAAATTAATTTTATCTAACAATATAAATTGAATTGTTAAAATTATTATTTTTATTTAATTTTTATAAATCATTTAATAATTTTTCACATTTTTTTGTTAATTCAAATGATTATTTCTTCTTCAAGCTCTTCATAAATTATTTCATCAATATACATGATTTCTTTATGAAATAATTTTTAAATTATTAAATTGGAATTTAGTTAAAATTCGATATAAATCTGTCAATAATCATTGTAGGAAGTAAAAATTTAGTTAACCTATTTCAAAACCCTAATAAGAGAATACTTGAAAATAAATTACAGTAAAATTTATGACCCTAAACTATCTTCTTTACATCAGGAAATAGTTCTAAATTATACATTAAACTCAGAATATTTCCCATTTTCACTTAAATCATAAATCTAATTGATATTCAATTATGTTATTTCTTATCATCAGCGATATTACATTCAATTTTGCTCATTAAGTTTAAAAAAACATTTAAAATTTATGAAATTCATAGATGTGATTCAAACTTAATCCTTACATCTAAAAATAAAAATAGCACCTTTAATAAGTATATGTTTATTTATTAAACTCTTATTAGTCATATTAGATATATAATAATTTATAAACCTGATATGGATTTTTCGACAACATAGTTAAAAGAGTTTCATCAAAACCAAATATAACAAATCTAATTAACGTAAGACACATAAGAGATCTTGATTATAAACTCTCAATTTATTATTTTTCGTGGTTTTAGCACCATTCTCCTTTCTGTGCATTTATTGATATTATGATTTGATTATACTACCAGTCGCTCAGACCGTTTAGACAGAAAATATCATTAAATTATTTTGGCATAAATGTTAACAAATCTCTACAATGTCCATGTTTTAGTCCAACATATATTTTTCAAGCTAGTAGCTCATTTTTTAAAAGTTAAACTTAACCAGATTCCTAAATGAATATTGATCAAGGCAGCTAATGTAGTTAATTGCTATTTAGATAATTAGCTCGAACAATAAACCTCAAACTTTTTCTAGAGTATTTAATTTTTTAATATAGTATACTCAGATATTCAAGTGTTAATATCCATCTAAGATAATAATTAAGAATTATATTAAATTTAAATAATAGAAACATTATTCAACTAAATGGCAATAATACGGATAGAAAAATATCTAGTCATTTTATATTTTTTGGAAATCTATTAAATATATTAAAATTAATTTTGAAAATGAGTAATCTATTCATCTTATTAATAGAATTAATACTATATTTTAATGTTAAAATGATTTATAAATCTTTCATTAAATCCTTTTGGTTAGATTCTACTAGTACTTTGCAGTATCAAAGATTCGAATAAAAGTTCTTTTTACAATAGGGTATCTTATTTTCTGTTTTTGAAAATTAGTCATTGAAATTTGGCATTAGTAAATCGACTATAAAAATATGGAGATGGATTATTGCATTATATTCTCAGAAACTCATGATTAAGTTTATCAATAAGGAATAAATCAAATGCTATTTATTATTATAAAGATTGAAGCCCCAAAATTTTTCTTAAATTAATAGCACATGATTTTTCCTTCAAAGATAAGCTTAATCATGAGTTTATGAGAATATAAAAGATGATAATGTATCATCTCCAATTAAATTGAACAACCATTCATAAGGAGAGTATATATAGCCACGTTTTGATTTAAATAAGCAGATTCTCTTTATTATAAACTTTCTACCAAAAATCTTCTGCCTTAATCCATCTCTCACACCTAAATGAATATTTTTCAAGTCCTTGATATTTTCTTTGTTTTCTATAATGTTGATTTTAATAATCAATTTGATTCTTAAATGGTATGCTTTATTTAAAAATCACATTTATTGAATAATTGACATTTGATCAAATCTACATAAACTTCAGTATTATTTTATTTTATTACGATAGTCAATCTTCAACCATATATTATGATTTTTGTTTAAATTAATTTTCTTTCTCGTTTCAATTAGTTTTTATTTTCTATGATAGGTTTTTTGTAGTAAAGTTAATATTTATTCTTAATTATTAAATTTCAATCCATTATCTTTAACAGTTTGCTCGATATTATAAATTTGATATTAATTATCATTTATCTTTGTTTGTTACTTGTTAATCATATTATTAAGTCATTTTTTTATAGAGTTTTCACTCCTGATCGAATTTGACAATATGTTATCGATTATCTAATCAAGTTAATTATCTTTTGATGATAATTGCTGCAATTCCTTATAATTAACTTATATTGTTATTTTAACTAATTAATTGATGTGGATTCTTAATTAAGTTTTTACTCTCAAGTAATTGCCATATATTAAATTTGATCTATCAATTCAACAATCTAACTAATACATTTAGATTTTAATTATGATTATAGAGATCCTTAAATTAGAGGCATAAAGTTCGAATTCTTTTTGCTTTTTAATTTTTTCTGTTTTTAATTTTTATTTAAACTTTCCAATCTAATGATTGGATATACTTATCGAAATTTTTCATCTCTATTTTATTTCCTTCAATTCACTGTGTTTTAGTATTTATCATTTATTGATTCATTAATTGTAATAATTTTCTAATCTCTATTTTGATAAAATTTATGAAGGACTTGATGGATGATTATAATTGTTTTAGATTGATGAGTCGGAGAGAATTTCTTACTTATTTAGCATTTAAGATTATGTCTTTATGCTTAGAGCATCTCTGTAGGTTCATTATGTAGTGTCTTATTTTTTTTATTGAATTTATCTGTTAGGTGCCGTGTGCATAAGTATTTTTATCTAATTTATTACTTCAAATCTACTGGCATTATCTCATACTCTGGGTTTAATAAACATTGTTTTCGTTTTCTAATATTTGCAAAAGATATTTTGTTTTTCAATTAATTGAAATTTTATCATATTAACTTGTATTTTAACCAATAAATATAATTATATTAGTTAGCATAGTTAATAATTATTTGTGGAGTTGCTGTATATATAGAAATCAATAGTCAAAATCGAACTGTTTATACTCAGTAGATGAAACTACTTTATAATCTGATTGTGTTTGAATCAAGAGATATATGGAAAATGATTATAAAATTGTAGTCTAATAAAGCATACTATATGGTTCATAATTAGGAATTCAAAATTCATAAGTGAAAAATTGGGGTGACATTAAATGTAGTTTAAGTATAACTAATGTAAGCCTAATTTATCAAACTCAGGAAAGTCTGGTAGGCAAATAGAAAAAGAATCCTCTCTTAAGTTAGCTTTTCTTTGTTGCTTTACTTATTTGAAAATAAAAACATTATAGATTATATAAAAATCTTCAAAATTGTTTCATTCGATATATTCTTTATTGGAAATCCCCTTGTTGTCAATAAAATCTATCTATTATTGATACTAGATATGATTATAATAGAACTCATAAGTTTGTGTAATCATTTTAAATTTTTTGCTTTGATGTAATAACAAATGTTATACTGGATTAGAGATCATAATAAGAAGAAAGAAGATCACTACTCCAAAAATTAATCATCATTAATTGGATTTAAATAAATTGAATTAAACTCATAAGATTCTGAGAGGATAGAGAACTTGAAATAGACGATTAAATTTAAAAAAATGAGGAGTTTAAAAAGAAGAAAATTATAAAAGTAATAAAATTAATTAAAATAATTAAATGATATTTTAATATAAACAATAGAAAGCTTATAAAATTGTTTGAGTTAAGTAAATTAAAAATGAAACATAGAAGAAGAAAATGACATGCCTCATAGTTAAAAACATGAGAGAAGGACAAGAGATGCCAAAGCAATCATAGAAGACAACCAATTGTCTCCAAAATCACTTAAAAATAAAATAAAATCTTGGGCTAGTAGGAACAGGAAGGATGCTCTGAGAAGATTTAAATTGCAGAGATGAGACCAGGGTGGAGATACACCAGTACTTCTAACTGGTATAAAAATTAAAGATCCGAAACCCCCCTAGCCAGTATAAAAATTTTGGGGATGATTATGATATCTGCATCCAATAAACATTATACATTACATATACTATAATTGAGAGGGAGAAGGATTTGGATCAATTTTTGAAATATAGTTATTGAGTAGTTTAATTATTAAATTCTATTATATTTTTATGATTTTTTAAATTTATCATATAACATTTTAATTAGAAAAAATAATATGCATAATTTAATAACTTTAAATTTAAGTTAAAACAATCACCCTAATTATAGAAAATATTCTTAAATAATTCAAAATATTTATGTATAAATTTTAACAATGTTCATTTTAAAGCTCCTTTTTCAACTAACAATTTTTAAAAATTTTCATTTTCGATTGTTTGAAATTTTGATTATCTAATGTTACAACGATAAGCTTAAAGGAGAGGACTTTTTGATAAAACATAATAACAAACAGGATATTCATAATTTTTTAAGGTTTATTGGTCTATCTTATATAATAAAATTGAACCATCTTCCATTCCAAGTATAAATTGATCTTCAGATAAAGTAAATTATAATTTCTTAATTTAAGAATTAAATTAATTCAAAGTAAATTTTAATTCATTATTTTAAGAATCAAAAATATTTAATGTTTTATTTTCAATTTTACAAATATATTTACAAACTTCTAATTCTCTTTATATTGAATTGAAATCAAACGAATTTTCATTTTCAATAACAGCCACTTCTTAATATTCTGATAGATTTTCATCAATTATATCCCCAAACTTACTAAATAACCTGACTGTTGTTGAATTTAAAAACTATAATGCAGATGCTTCAATTGGTTTTACTAAATTTACTTTTAATTTGATAGTATTTAAATTAGAAAGATCCCAAAATCTAATTGTATGATTCCTTCCTAAAGATAATAATGAGTTTCCATTTTCTGAAAAAATTAGGATAGAAGAAAAAGATTATTTATGAAAAGAGTTTCCTTCTAATGTTGCTATTTATTATTTTGATGTTATATCATATAATTTTAGATTTGTTTTGAATTATATTGCTGCTAAATTAGTTTTATCACTATATCCAATTGAAAAATGTTATAATAATAAACCATTATTAAACTATTCTTCTAAAATTGACACTTAATCTATCTAAAAAACAAGTTGACTTATTTGAACATCCCAAAATTAATAATCTTCAGACCAAATAACTATATACTTTTCATCTTTTATAGGAAATATCTAAAGACTTGATATTTATCTTGTACTATTACTATTATTATAAAATTAAAGATCTTAAATAGTTATCAATGTACAATCATTATTTATGTTCCATAATCTTATTTTTTCATCGATATGACATGAAAATAAAAGTTTACCATTACCAGAAAATGTCATAGATAAAACTTTTGTATTTTTAAATGATAAATGTTGTAATACTGATTCTTTTTATTTCTTCTCCATTGACCAGATAATAATAGAATAATCTTTATCTTCTATAGCTAATCTCTATGAAATAGGACATATTGCTATTGTTGTTATATTACTTAGCTATATTCCTTCAAAATTTTCATTTATTAATTCAGATTTATTGTTTGTTCTAATTACTTCTAAAGGATTACTTTTTATTAATAAATTTGATGATAGAATAATTGATCTTGATTAAACATTCAAATTTGATTAATTTAGTAGTTATTTTTATTTACTTACCTACTCTAAGTTCAAGATTAATACTTTAGAATTAATATACTTACAAATAAGCTAAGTCTAATTTATACTAAAAGCAAGATTATCATTAAAAATACATTATAATTTAAAGTGATGTTCAATAATATATTTTGTATTTAATTTCCAAATATGTACTGTTTATTCATCATCTAGAGCAGCAAAGTATTAACAGTTCATAGAAAAACAAAATGAAGAAGGGAGTCTTTTACCTTTTAATAAAACATCAATTTTTTTAAGTTCTATTAAATCCCATCTTATTATTTCAGCCTCTGATCCTGTAACTAATTGAAAACCATCTGAAGATATACTTAATTATTTAACAGAATCTGAATGACCATCCATTTCAAATGATTATTATAATGCTTTTAGATTCCATAACTTTATTATTTATTCACTTGTTTATGCTAATATTCCTTTTGTTGATATATTAATCAATTCTATAATAGAAGTATCACTTTTAAACATAGAAAGTAATTTACAAGATTTAGCATCCCATAATTTTATTGTTAGATCTACATAACTTGAAACAAAATTTTATCCATCTTAGGAAAATATTACTTTCTTACATTTAAACTTTTTTTCATCATCAATTTCTTCAAAACAAGAAATTACTTTTGTACTTTCTAAATCCATTAATAATGATTTTTATTTCCCTTAATCCAATTCTTAAATTGCTACTAATTATGATTCTTGATAGTTCAATGTTAATAATGACAATGGAGACAAATTCAAATTAATCTATTTTATAATCTTATTTTCATTTATATCATATTTAGTATATATTGAATTATTTGAAATTACTGTGAAAAAATTACTATTCAATGAAAAGTTCTTATGTAAAAATTAATTTTCTTAATTTGATTTCAATATTTTATCCAATTTAATTGTATCTAATAATGAATAAAAACAGATGTGATTTTCTATTCCGATTCCTATATATTATTAATTGGAATCTAAAATAATATCCTTTGATTTTTTACATTTATTCATTTAAATTAATTAAATAGATTCTAATTCTGATAATTTTAATACTGTTATAACACTTGAACAATAAATTACAATTTATTCTAATTTATTTGAGAATAAAATCTTTAAAGGATTATTGGGTAATTAAATAATTGCCAATTATTATATTGATTAAGAATTTTATATATCATATAAAACTAATTATCCTCCAAGTGTATTTTTACCAATTGCTAATTTTTCATTTCCAATAAAGCTAATTGAAATACAACAACAATTTTCTTCAAATTTCTATTCTATTTAATTAATTTTAATATTGTATATAAATGATCCTTTCTCTGTAGCAATTGCCAAAAGTGATGAATCATTAGAAAATTAAAAGTCTTTGTAAGAATTATTGTTATCTTACAAATACATCATATTTGGACTGTTATGATTTTCTATAATTATAATCTCAAAACTTAATGTACTTCCAATAACAATAAACTATTAATTATATGCTACTGAAATACAATAAGCATTATTTTAAAAATGAAAGTGGTGTTTTTAAATTTGATTGTCTTCTATTTTCAATAGAAACACAGATACATGAGATTAAACAATAATGTTTTAACTGTTTAAATAAAAAATTCTTTTCAAATATTAAAGATCTTTTAATTAAATTTGTTTTTCAATTAAAAAAGATTATTCATTTATTTTCCAAATTCTAACAATGCCTTTTTCACTTAATGAAATCATAACTTCACCATCTTAATTAAAATTAATATCTAGAAAATTTTCATCTGTCTATATACTTGAAATTAGATTAAATTATATAGAATTCCAAAATTGAATTTCTTTAGAATGTTAGCATTTAAATGATACAACAATTTATTTATTTGGCCAAAAAATAACTTTGTTAGATTCAATTTGTTATTATAATGTTATTTAATTTAATGGTTAGTCTAAATTAGTTATATCCCAAAAAATAATTGTTTTATCTAAACTACAGGATACCATTTAATTTCTATTACTTGAAAATGCCAAATCTAGAACTCTATTTGTATGTGTTGACAATTTAACTATTAATTTTTATTTATTTAAATCCCATAAACAAATAGTCATATCTAGACTACCTGAACCTAAAACTAAATTATCATTTGTAAATTTTAAAGATAAAACATCATCTTTATGTTCTTCAAATATACAGAGCATTTTTATATGATGAAGATTTCTTATATCCCATATTTTGATTTTAGGATTTTTTTCTTAAGGATTTTTCTTTTGAGAACAAGCTAAAGTATAACAATCATAAGAAATCTCAATTAAATCAACTTTAAATTAAGAATGGATTATAAAATAGTCTTATTAATCAGATAACTTTGATACATCATATAATTTCAATTATGATGTTGATCTTAAAGCAATTAAATTTCCATCATTTGAATAAGATACTTATTCTATATTCTATTATGAATCTAAAGAAAATATTAATTAAATTTAATTTAAGTTCTAAATATTCCAAAATTCTAATTTCTTATTCTCTCCTCCTGTTGCCAAGATCTAATTATCTTTAGAAAAGGCAACTCCAAATACAGGTTTTAATTGTTTAGGAAGTTCTAAAATTTCTTAAATATCTGTAATATCTTAAGCTTTCCAAACTTTAATTGGAAAACCACCTGTTGCTATTAATTAATAATCAGAAGATATTGTTATACTATAAATTAAACCCTAGTTTTTTTCTTTTGATATATGCTTTTATTATTATGTTGATTATTGTAATATGTGCTATATTAACCAAAAATGTATTTAACCTGAATTTGTTTAGGCTGCTAAATATTTACCATTTGGAGACAATAATATGTCTATATAATCATTATTTATTAATTATTAATGACTCAGTTAATTCAAATCAATAGTATTAAACAAATATATATTATTTTAAGTAAGACATGCAAGTAAATTTTTAACTTTAGAAAATGTTATTGTAATTAAATTTTCATCTTTTTATAAATTTATACTTTATTTTTCTTCATCAGAATATACTTACCAAATATTAATAATTCCATCTTCACTACCTGAAATTAATGTGTTACCATCATCACTAAAAACAATTTAAATTATTTTTTATTTATGACCAATTAATGATGGTTTTTCTTTACAAATTAAGTTATTCCAATTTGCATTCTCTATTGTTGCACAATTTAAATTACATGAATCAATTGATATATTATCAAATTAAGAATTATTCAAATTACACTTATAAAAACTAAGACCATTTAATTTAGTATCAGAGATACAAATATTACTTAAATCTATATTATCTAAATATTCACCTAAAAAACTTAGAATATAAAGGCAATTTGAAGCTGATCTAATATACTTTTTATTATCACATTATATATTTGATAATTATGTTATTTAAATTAGTTTTTGTTTTATATTTTCTATCTATTTTATTTTAGGCTTTAATAATTCTAAAGTGCCAGAATAATGTTCAAATGATAAATTAAATTAATCCTTATTAAAACTGCTTTTATATATAATATTTTCATCAATTCTTTGATTCTCTTTTATAAAGATTTTCTCAATTAAATCTAATATATATTTGGCCACAAAAAATTCCTATATTGATTTATGATTAAATGAATATATATTACCTTTTGAATTAATCAACATACACTTTAGTAATAAAGTTTTATATTCAAAATCAACTTAATTTTCACTAAAATATGAATCTTCCCATGAGATTTCAACTTTCCTCTCTTCTTCTGCTTATTTGATGAATAATTTCCCTTTTTATTTATAATTTACTTAAGTAATTTATCTCTAAGACATATCTATAGCCAAATAAATAGAAAAATCTTTTAAGTCTAATAATACACTTTCTTATTTAATACTTTTACCAAGATCTTTCAACTTTTATAATTGCTGATTGTGATAAAAATTAACAAAAATTTCATAAAAATCGAATGCTGTATATTAATTTAATCTAAAAGCAGAAACAATAAAATTGGCATCTATTTTAACTTTAAAATATTTATTTGAAAATATAGTAGTATTGTTAATATATTCTAAAGAATTAGCAATTGAAAATGATTCAAAAAAGTTTTAATTGTCTAGTTATTCTACAATTGAAGTAAATTATTCTAATATTTCAAGTTCTATATTTTATACATTAGTCTAAATCACTTTTTAATTTTGTACTTCTTCCTCTTAACTCTAATTATTTATTAGCTTTTATAAAAATTTTTCAATAATTTTTTATGAATTCTTAGCTTCTCTTTTCAAAATCATAAAATTTTTTTTTAGGAGATCTCTAATTAAATTAGATTAAGAAAAAAATGATGACATTTTAGGTAAAACATAAACAATTATTTCCATCATAAATGGTGTACTTAATAAATGATTTATATTAACATTATTGATTACTTAACATAATTTCTATTCTCCCCATAATTAAAGAAGTTCTTTTTTTAAAGAGACCATTTGATTTGATTTAATAAAATTAAAAAATTCAACTGTTTAAATTTTTAATATAAGTTTTTCAACATCTTAATTTTAAAATAATACTTCTGAATTTTATTATTATAATATAATAGTATTAATTATATTTTCTAATTGATTCCATATTAATTTAAACTCATCTAATGAGAAATTTTAACCTTTTAATTATTTAATAAATTCATAAAACTTTTTAATAGTTCTTTTAACACTTATTTCAACATATTTTTTAATATACTATGAACTTTACTCTTAAGTAAATGGTAAAATTTCAATTTCTTTAAGAGTATCAATATTTTACCCATAAAACCATGTTTAATATCCAATAGAATTTAAAATTTCTTCTCTTGTAGTAATAATAATTTTTACTGTTTATCCTGATACTTAGAGATTGAGATCTTAAGTAAATCTATTAGAATGATAAAGATTAGTTCCAATAGAATCATATTTCATTTCATCATAACTTTCAAGTATAATAACAATCTTTAGATTTCCATTAACAACAGCCTCTTTAAATTCTCTTATTTAAATATTATCAAAATTATAATTTTCAGATTCAAGAGCTTATTCAATTAAATTATGATTAGGATCTTTTAATGAAGGAAGAGATACATAAATTGGAATCCAATTTGGTGAAATCTTATCACAAATCCATATAAATTCTTCAATATTACGTGATGCTCTACTCTTACCTGATCCAGCTTTCCCTTTTATTATCATAACATCTTTTTACTTTTCATATTCACTCCATAAAAATTCATTCACTTCTCCATCATAATTTTCATAATAATTTTTTATTAAAAATGTACTTAATTCTCCTTCCCTATTTGTCTTTTTATTACCAGAAATAGGATCGTATTCTTAAGTTAAAAATTATATATGAACTTAATCTAGTTCATTTTCAAGCTTTTATTTTAATATCTTCTACTTTCTTATTTCGAATAAATCCTAAAAATTCTTACCTCTTAATCTTCTAATATCATCTTCTACGCCTTTTATACTTATTAATACTTAATCAATAGATGATTTAATATTTTTTAAATCTTTACTAATCTCTCTTAAAAAAATTAAACTTATATCTAGTCTCTATGACATATCAGTAATATTATCTAAATAAATTTCAAAATTATCATAAGCATCTTATAGTTATTTCTTCATTTCATCTTAATTATCACTTAGAAGAACTTAAGTTTCAAGTTGTTCTATTTATTTTAGTCTTTATTGCATTTCACTTTTTAATTTTATAGAAAAATTTTGTAAATCTTTTGAGAACATTTTCTTCTACATCCTTATCATTTCATCATTTTTCAGAAGATTTCTAACACCTGAATGTTTTTCTATCATCCAAATTTGTTTTAATAAATTTCCACAAAATTCTTATATTACTTATTCTTAAACCATTTATTACATCTTAACCAAATTAAATACTAGTAATTCCCTAACCTTGTATGATGAATTTTCAAATATATCAAATACACTCTTTTCAACAATTATCTTTTAGTCTTTTTTTAATTCAATTAACATATTTTAAATAATATTAATTTTTCCATTCTAATCTTTAATTTCATTATCTTCAACAAATAGAGAATTAAAATTTAATACTTAAATCAAGGTAGATTTTTAATTCAATTTAGGTTAATTTTAAAGCTTAGTCATAAATTCTTCATTAAAAATAATTTATTCCTTATTATTTATTGATTAATAAAATTATATAGTTTACTTCTACAAATCCACAATTACTTAATTTAAACTTTTTGCAAAAGTATTCTTAAATTAACTCAATAATTATTAGTTTGTTTATTCATTTTAAGAAACTGTTTCTTTACAATTTTACTTGAATATTCTCTTAAGTTTTTGTGATTTAATTATTAAATTCTCTATAATTCTGATTTAACATTCGCAATCAAATAAATCTGTCGATTATAATTTTATTATTTCTTCTAAAGGGTTTTACTATTTATCATTAATTTAAAAGGAAATCTCTTTTTCATCTTTGCTTATTTCATAAAGATGACCATCTAATAATTGAAAGATTTCTTTTTGAATAGTATTTTTATCTTACTAAACCAAACCTATAAGTTCCAATTTTGTTTGAATATCTTATAATAATAATATTTGATGAGTTTTAGTTAATTCTTACTAATCCTTTTTATTTATTTCAGATAATTCTAAACTAATTTCATTTGATATATTGTTAAATTCTGTTACTTCATCTTTCGTGAATTCTAAATTTCGATACTTGTTAAATAGAATTTACAACTTCTCTTTTTTATCGATTATTAACTTTTTAATATATTAATTAGTATCATTTTAATTTTATCTTTCATTTTCCATCGTTCTTTTATTTGTAAAAACACCTTATAATTAATTAGATATAGATAATAATTTACTATGATGTACATTAAGAATCATTTTTAAACCCTTATAAATATTTAAGTTCGAACAAATAATAAACAACATTTTTTGAACATCAATCTTCTTTTGAATTTCAAATTTTTCTTTATATGTGCTTTAAAAATATTGGCAAATCTCAACAATTAATTTTGATATAATTTTTGGATTAAATAGCTTAATTAACAGTTATGCTATATTTTTTTAAGAGATAGGTTCTTTCATAAAAGTCTTGAATTTATTCTAATCTAATAAATTTAAGAAATTTCGCTTTATTGTATTTGTTTAGATTAAAAATTTATCTAAGTAATTTATTATATCTGTTAGGATTAAAATATTTTGGTTCAATTAAGATTCAATAGATATAGGTTTCTCTAAATCAGAATTAATATTAATTAATTCCTCTTATGAAATTGTTGTATACTAACAAATTTATATCCAAAATTAAGATATCGAATTAAAATTATTTAAAAATTCAAATTAATATTTTTCTTCTTTTTCTTTAATAACTGTGATTGTTGATTTTTTTAATATTTTTTGTTTTTCGTCCTAATTTGAATCTTATGTTTCTAAAAATACTTAGATAATAGAATTAATTTATAATTCCTTATTTGTTAATTAATTAATCTCATAAATTAAAAATAATAATAATAAGCTAGATTTTTTTATTTAGTTCATCAAAAATTTAATATCTTATCTAAGTATTTTGATTTCAAATTATTTATAATTCTTAAGATGAGAATTATATAAATTTATTTATTATTTCGCAGCTTCAAAATTATTTAATATTTATTCATTTTAGGACTTTAATTATTTGATTAAGCTTTTTATTAATTCCATATTTGATTAATCAGTTAATAATTAAATAAAAAGATCCTCATCATTTAATTACTCTTCTTTTTATAAATTAAAATTAAAATCGACATAGTTTGGCAATAAGAAAATATTACTTTCATTTGAGATCAAGTACTCCTAAAATAATTTAAGTGATCCGAACTTCTTAAATGAAAAATTTTGATTTCCAAACATTTTTAATTTACCAGCAAATTTATGATATGGCAACTAAACTATTTAGTTAGACATAATTAATTAATTCCAAGTTTCTTAATCTTAATTTCCTTTTTATAATATTTATGATAATTAATTTTTATAAACAATTGGTCTATAACACATTATATCTGATATCAAGTTGATCCAACAATAATGTATCATCCAATCTTTGGATAGTTTTATATACTTTAAATATGCATCTTGAATTTATTAAATAATATTTTAAATGGAGTAGCCTAATTTCAATTGATTTAATATAGACCATTTCAAATTTTCGAAAAAATAATAGATTTCATATATTTAAATTGGATTTTGAATTTTTTTATCATAGAAATTCAAAAGTAAGAATTTTCCTCCTTGAATTAACGAATCTATCAATTCATCACTAGGTTTTAATTAAGATATTGATGAAATTAAACCACTCATAATAGATAGTACTAATTCTTTACCTTATTAAGAGTTGGTTCTACAATGAGCTATACAAGTTTTAATCATTTAAAGTTCAAATTCCACTCCATTAATCCAAATATTCAAAGCTTCAACTTAAATTTGACATTCTGTTTCTGATATATATTCTAGAAATGTTTTTTTTAAATCTTCTTACATATACCTCTCTTCATTCTTTAATTAATATGAAAATATAATTCTAAATAAATCATTACATATTTAGAGTAAGAGATAAAATAGAAACCCTGATAATTTTACATAAATCTTTAACTATTTCAATAATTATTCTAATATTTTTTCAATAACTTCATATATTGTTTAATTAAAAATTTCTTCATTACATATAATTAAAAATTACTCTTTTTGATTTAAAAACCACTAAAATGCAGTAAGTATTTCATCTTTATTCATATTATCTTAAAAACTCAAAGATTTTTCGACTATAATATTTGTAAATAATTGTAAGTTAGACACAAAATTTTCTTCAATTTATTTTTAATTCAGTTTTGAGAAATCATGAATTTATTATTTTGTGTTACAGCATCCACCTCCTCTTAATTTTAAAAAAGTGATCTAATTTATATGATGTAACAAATTATCTGAGGATTCATAATATTTAAGATTATTTATAAGTCGATCATTTAAATACTAAGGTTAATTTGTGATAATCATTAATTAGTGTATGTATGTTCTTATTGTTTAATAAATCATGAATTACTTTATATAATTAAAAATGATTTTCAAAATATAAAGATGCTTAAGAATGAAGATTTGACAATAAATTAATTATAAGTTTAGAATTAATCATAAAAAATAGATTAAGTGTAAGAAAATTTCATGATTTTGAATAATAAGAAAATCAAATTTATTTATGATATAATCTAGTGGGATAATAGTGCTGTAGTTTAAAATAAAAAAAAAATTGATTGTTTTATAAAGATATTGAGGAAAATGAAAAAGTATTAATTGATTATAATTAAGCTGAATTGTTATTCATAATCTTAGGCAGCTTATTTAATTAAAATAGACAGAAAGAAGAAGCTTTGAATGATTATAATTAAGCAATCTTACTTGATCCTAAAAATGTAATGAGCTATTAAAGATGTTTTATAATTAATTTTTGCGAAATGGTAGGAGATTCTTAGTTAGTTTTATGAATTATAATTATAGGATAAAAACATTCTCTGATTAAAATAATTATATTTCCATCATAATTTCAAATATTTTTATATGAAATAATTATTTCCTCTTAATTTTATGTCTTATTAATGAATTAAACTGGTTGATTTATTCTTGATATAATAAAATTGAAGCATTTATATATTTTAAAATTGATATAAACTCAGAAAATCTAAATAAATTCTATATTAAATAACTAATTTTAATTTTAATCACATTTTGATCACTTTTCTCAATTTCTTTTTTTTTTGATTCTAAGAGTATTATCTAATGAATAAATTGCTTTTATTCTTATTTTAAGCTAATATAATTATCACTTTATCAAATATTGTCAAAAAAATAAAAAAGTTATTCTAATCTTTTACTATTTATTCCATCAATATATTATTATAATGAATTTTCTATTTTAGTAGCTTAAAATATATTTTTAAACCAATATAAAAAAATATAATTCAGAATTCATCAATTTAATTAAATATAAATGTATTGACATTTTGTGAAGATATATTTTGTTTATTTATGCAGTTGTTTAGGGTACATAAATATTGAATTAATTAATGATCCATATCAAAAATAAACCTGAAGATTCATTGGTTAACGCATCTTTGCTATTGATATATCTAAAGGATCTAAAAATGGAACGAACAATTAATAAAAAACTTAAAGAGATAAATTGTTAAATTCTAAAATAAATACTTTATATAATAGATTGCTAATAGAGTCACTTAAAAAAGGATATTTTTTGTAATCATTTCATCTTGCCTTAAAAGATAAGCTTTTCTCCTACATTGATACATCTAGGAATTTGCAGAATTATCAGCCATTATTCAAAGATTGATTTCAAAATCTGATTGTTTAAACTTATTTTAATTTCAGGATTGGACTTCTTGATAATTAATTTTAATTTCATTGTTTAATATTCTTTAAAACTACTTTATAGATGATATTACTCAAATTAAAGAAGTGAAAAATACAAAAATTCAGATAGATATTTATTCATATAACTTCCTAAATAATTTATTAAAGTAAATGAAATACATTTGAAAACGCAAATTTTTTGATTAAATTTAATAATTATTATTTCATTTATATGATAATTCAATGGATTAATAGCCTTTTTTATGATCATCCCAGACTACTAAATATTTACCATCATCTGTCACAGTTCCAAAATTCCAATTAGTAATACAATTCAATTAATTAACAACCAAAAATTTACCATCTAGTTCTCTCAATATATAAATAATATTTTTAGATCTAATAAATAATGCATTTTTATCTTTCAAATAGACTATTGGGAATAAAGAGCAACCAACATTTTTATTATTATTAGAATTTAATTAAATTCTATTTTCAGTATCCTCAGTGAATATTCCAAGTTTTTATTAGAACATGCAAATAAAATTTAATTCTTTGCTATAAGGAACCCATATGAATTGATTATCATTTAAAAACTTTAGATGACATCCTGTAGAATTAATAAACTATGTAAAAACTTACTTAAATTAAAATTTATTATGTTATCCAATTTCCCAAATAATTATTTATTAATCATCTCCACAAGAAATAAACACATTTTCAGAATCATTTAAACTTATGGCTCTTATGCTATTAGTGTGTTTCTCTAGGGAATAAAGATATTATAATTCATTTTAATTCAAATCAACTTACCAAACAATAATCTAAAAATCTCCTCCTCCTGAAAAGAGTTAGGTTTCATTTTTATTAAGAACCATGCTTCCAATCCAACCCTTATGTTATCTATATTAATGAGATTTCTTCCAATCATTTTAATTAATTTTTTTCCAACAAATAATAGTTTTATCATTAGAACTAGATATAAAACTCTCTTGTAATTTACTATATATTAAACAGTATATATAACTGCTATGTCCATATAGAGTAGATTCTAAATTTAATTTACCTTCATTCATAGTCCATATTCTAATATCAAAATTATTCATGGATACCATTTATGATCCACTTTTATTAAAAGCTATAGCATAACATTTGTTGTTCTATTTAATAAAATCATCTTTTAATTATATTTATATCTAATCTTCTAAATTAATTCTATTTTATGATTAACATAAATCTTAAACTGATTATATTTATAATTCTTTTTATTAAGATAACTTTTAAGATTAAATCCCTTCCTCTTTTACATCTATTTATCTATTAATATTTAATAATATCTCTTAACATTTTTAATATTACTTAAAATTATTAAGTAATTCCAACTTTTCATTTATTTTTAATTTCCAAAAATCATTTACTGTATTAATTTCATTAATCAAAATAGATTTATCATTTTTATTTTCTAAAGACTTAGTGATTATATTTCTTAATTCCGCATGAAAACTATAATGAGAATGATCATGTCCTACCTATTATAAATTTTGAATCCATCCACTACTAAATCCTATTATTTCATCTAATTAAAAAGCAATCTAAGATTTTAATTTATGAATATTTCCCAAAAGCTCCTCTATCTATATAACATTTTATTGAACAAGCTTCTCTATTGTTTCAATCTTTTGATTTTAATTCTCTCTTATTGTTTTACAAACTAATTCATAGCCCATTGTTGTAACATTTGTCTTAAACCCTTTTATACAATCTGCACATAAAAGTCTCTAGTTTAATTCTAATTTTGGATCAAGAACAACCATAAGAATAGGCTGCTTATGATTATTACTACATCTTAGATCCTTTTCTCTTTCTATCATACAAGATTTAAACATTTTTTATAATAAATAATCATGATAAAATTTGGTAAATACCCATTTAAACACTACCAAATTTAATATTCAATTATTTATAATTCATTATTTATTAATTCTAATTTTTAGACTATTTTCCATTAATCAATTATTTTCAAGCAATTTGTATAATTACGTCTTCTATTTATCAGTACAATAAATTTCAAATTTACTGTTAATTTAATTCTTAATATAAAACGTTTATTCATCATTTAAGAATGCTCTATTAAAGATATATTTTAATTATTTAAAAATAAAAATCATTTTCCTGATAAATTAAATCAATAATCTCGACAGTATGTTATTTAAAGTTTCATCGTTATCAAACTACTTATATATAGAAAAAAAATTATATTAGCTTCTTTAAAGGCAAGATTTAAAATAAAAATTTATTTATACGTCAAAATTAATTTTCATTTGTTTGACTAAATTAATTCAACTCAATTCTAAATTATTAATTATCTATGATTTATCATTAAATATTCAATTAATCTCTGAACTTTTAAAGTAAAGTCAAAGTTTACAAGAGAAAATATTAAAGTTTGAACATTTATAAGTTTTAATAAATTCGATAAAATATTTTTTAAATTAGAATCAGTATTTAATATAAAAGCCTTGTTACTTCACTAATAAAATCAAGAAAAAATATTTATTAATAATAGATTTGAATTATAAAATTTTTTAATATTTAATAATTTTTAGGATTCATTGAATTAATTAAATAAAAATTTCCAATTATAATTTAATCAACAAATATTTTTAAATCTTGTATTTTGTTATTTTCCTTGATTAATAAATAACAGTAAATTTAACCTTGAATAATTAAACACAAACAATTTCGTCTTAATCAAATATTTTTTACTTTAGAATATATCTTTTTTTCATAATATTCATTATTAATTTTTAAAATAAAGTTTATTTTCTTTTGATTATTATCTCTTTAAAAAGCGCTCTACCGATAATATTTTTTATTAAAATGAAGACTTTTATTGTGAAAAAGTAATTTCTAAATAGGGATCTAACTAAATTTATATGCTATAGCTTTGCTATGATAGCAAATATTAAAGGTTAGAAAAAAAAAATTTTTTATTAAATGAAGTAATTTTTAGAAAGTGAATCCTTTTTTTGAAATTTCATTCATTATCAAAAACATAAATTGTAATAATAATTGGATTGCACATAAAAATAAGGGTTAAAAATAAAATATAATTTAGCATAATGTTTAAACTTTATGGATCAGCATGAAGAAGCTATAAAAATTTCAAATCTAGCTATAAAGATTGATCCTTCACGTTTCGGATCTTATCTTATAAAAGGTTAAATTTTTACTTATTTTTAGCCATCAGTTAAATCAAATAGCATCATTTTGAAGATGCTATAGCTTCATTGAACAGTGTTATTCT